GGTGGTTCTTTGGGATGGGAGGTGGGAGTGTGCCGTGGTGCATCGAGAGTGGACTTCAGGTTTGTTTTATGCTTCCTCGTGTTCTCGGATCGCCACCGGTGTGCAGGTTGTCGTCCAACGGTCCATGATCGACGACGTCAAGTTCGCGGGTGCCGTGTGTCGCCAGTAGTCGTTGCACGGTCTAAGGTTGGTTTGTGTTGCGCCTCTGGAGGGAATGCGGTCTTTCACCGACGATGTCGTGCCGTGTAGTTGTTGTTTAGAGTAGATGGTCTCCAACCTTACAAAACGGGACATGCGTTTTCTAATTAATTTTGAGTTGATGATTACCTTGAAGTGTTGGAATGGTTTGCTGCGGTTCGTTGTCCATGTGCTTAATGTGACTTCTTAAATAGATGATCAAGTTGACAAGCTAGAATGGCTTGCAGTCGTTCATTGTCGGTCATCGCATTGGAAAGGTTGTCTTATTTTGCCGTTGTCGTTTCTTCTCTTCGATTAAGAAAACTTGCATCAGAAGTTGTCAAATTAACAATTGTTGTCTTCAATTAGCGAATGATGTATCCCAATTTCATGATCCACGTGCTCTGTTAATTTATTCACACTTCCTGTTTACAAAAAAAAAATTAAAAAATCAATGCAACGCAATGTTCATGGAATGCAGAGATGACAACATTCAGACATGTATGAAGGCGACGACAAGCCTAGCAAGGTCTTCTGAAAATGATACACCAAAAAAAGTCGCTAAACTGCAACAATTAATATCGTTCACACACACCACCCGTTCGTCTGGACGTGAACTTCGAATGGGTGATTGTCCTCCAAAATAAAAAGGCCCCCCGGCTGCCACACCAATGCACGTCGTCATCATCAACGTCTTGGGAAGGAATAAACAGGTGCACGAAGCGAGCCTTTCGTACAAAAAAAAAACAAAAACCAAAAACAAACACTGGACTGCCATAATGACCGTACGCAAAAACTGACCATCTACTGCAATGCCCGCCAAACCAAAATTACGAAAAATATAGCGCCACCTACAACCAATGACGGGCACCATGCAGGGCCTTTCGCAGCTTCTCCCACATAGCCAACTCGTCATCATGGTGGTCATCATCATCGTTGTCACCGTGGTCGTCATCATCATCATTATCATCATCATCGTAATCATCGTAATCATCATCATCATCATCATGATCGTCGTAATGATGAAGTTCACTGTCATTCCCATAATCATCATCATCATCATCGTCATCATCATCATCATCATCATCATCATCATCATCATCATCATCATCATCGTTATCGTTATCGTTATCATCATCATCATCATCATCATCATCATCATCATGTTCATCATCATTATCATCAGCAGCAGCATCATCGTCATCATCGTCATAATCATCATCATCATCATCGCAACATTTTCATCATCGCGGCATCGTCATGTTCGTCCTCGCCGCACACCCCCCTCTCCACTTTCACTCCTCCTCCTCCTACTCGTTATCTTTGTCGTCGTCGACGGCGGCTGGCCCTGTCCCCATCCATTGAAGCCCTCTCGCCTCGTTGGACCCTGACAAGCTGGCGTCATGTTGGAACTTAACGCCGCAAGGCGCCCAGTCCGGCAGGAAGTTCGGGGAGTGCCCCAACGTCACCTGCGCCTTCCCCAACTGTTCGGTCGCGGAGTTGGCAGCGGACATGATGTGCCGCCGCCGATCGAACAGACGGTGCATGGACGCGACGAGCAGGGGCTTGGTGAGCATGTTGGCGAAGTAGAAGGCTTTGTAGTGCGAGCGCAGATCATCTCCCGCCATTCACATGATCCACATGCACGCCGCCAACAACTCCTTGAAGCTTTCAGCCAGACAAGACAAACGTTTATGTGCGACGTGTCCCCCATCGACATTTTGGGCCGTTTCGACCGCCGTGCTGAATGCCGCAATCAGTTGCATCACAGTTGCCTCCTGGTACGCCGCCATCTCGTCGTTTGCTGGCCTGTCTTCGATGTGCACCCCAACAAACCACAGCGGGAGGTCCATCCCCATGTCTAGCGTGTGCGCGCAAACGGCGGGGCTGACAGCGTTACTCCACTTCTCACCATGCCATAGTGAGTGCGCAATGTCAGTCGCCACAGATTCAACTACATACTGGAAGGCGACATTGTATCCTCGTTCTCTGGAGCCCGATTTGAAGACCCAGCCATGCAAAACCCGCAAGGCCAGACTCTGGACTTTCGATGCGCGACTCAATGCTCCCTGCAACTGCCCTGCATCCGTGACCCTGATCTGCGCGATGTTGGATCTGGGCATGGCGACGCTTCTTAGGACATTCGGGAGTGGAAGCCCGCTTGCGATGGTGACGAGGTGCTCACGTGTCTCATTGATGATATTGTAGAGTATGCGCCCCTCCCTTGACGTCCAGAATGATTTGTCGTCGACCCACAGTCTCGCCCGCTCCGCCAGATCTTTTGCCAGTCCGCCTTTGCGCACCCTGTTGACAAGAGGTTCGTCATCCTCGCCCCCCCTTTTCTTCTCCGCACGCGCAACCTCCGTTGCGCTCGCCACGTCCTCCCCCCTGCGGCCTTCCCCCATCGCCCCCCACGGTGCTCCTGCCACAACTCCCACGTCCGCACCTGCGTGGCGGGGTTGCAGCGGTTCCACCGCCGTCGCAGTGGTGGCCGCAACACCAGATCCGACATTATCGCCCGCACGATGCTGACGTGGCGTTGCCGGCAGTGGGACTGCCTGTTTCGGCACCGCTCCCCCTGTGGCCACAAGTGCGCGCTGCTGACGTGGTGTCGTCGATAGTGTAAGCGGATAAATTGCGCTACGTTCGGGCACCACACCGCCTTGGCCTTCGTCCAACCGCGTGTCTTCATTCACTTCGACGTTGATGATGCGCTCGTCGCGAGTCGTCACCTGCGCAGATGACCCCCCAGCGATTGCATGAATGTTCGACGGTAGTGGCGGCGGCTGATCGTCAGGAGCCCCCATCGAGAAGACGTCATTATCATCGGTCTCGTTTGGTCTTCCCCATCCATCCCCGTCCGTTCGGGGGCCGCTGAATGACGCGCCGTCTCGACGATCCTTTTTTGCCTTCATCACATGTCGCACTCCTCTGTCCGCTCCCCCAACGTCGTCATGAGGTGCATCAAGCTTCTTGCCTCGTGCACGAGAACCGCCTCCGCCCCTTGGAGACATGGCCTTACCTGACGCCGCGCTACTACGTCCCGCAGCGCTTTACTACTGTAGACGTCCGTCCCGGAGGTGAGCCAACGACGTTCCACACTGGCCAGAAGTACGAGTACCGCCTTCCCGAAGAATGTCCCGCTTCGTGTGATCTACAAGGTGGCTGCTCGGTACGTGGCTGACGATGGGCGGATGACGGCGAATCGTGGAAGACAGCGAGCATGCAATGTCATGGTGAGGGAGTGAAGGTATTGTAGGATCCACAACGACGGTGAAGGTTCTGTTCGCGAGGAGTGGTTCGCCCAGGTGTGGACCGTGATTTATACTGTTGGCGGCCTTGTCCTTTCAGCGGTCGGAGAGCGATGATGACTCGCAGGGAATGATCAGCGGAAAGATCAGCACAACGATCAACCCAACAGGCACACGACCGACTAGGCACAGGACCGGAAAAAATAAAAATATAGAATAAAAATAGAAAAAATTAACTTCATGTCTGTGAGCGAAGAAAGACCCTGACAAGTGCAAAAGCGGAATGACAGACAACACACGAAGGAGGGGTTTACATCGTCTAACGACCACGAATGGCGGCAACGATCTCCATGTGAGCGTGGCACATCATCTTATACGTTTCGTCGGATGCCGCATAATGCGCTCTTTGAACCGCTACCTCCTGCTCCAATATGTCGCATTGCCTTGTCAAGATACTGCACTGCCGCTTGCTCAACGAATCAATCGTCGACGCCATGAGTTGCCCATGCCGGTCCATCACTTCAGTGATTGCCTCAAAAGTCTGCTGACGTGCATTCTTCCGCTTTCCGCCTCCGGCCCCGCTACCTGCGTTCTGACCAGAGTCCCTAGCCGAAGAACGGTCGTCCGCGCTGCCATCACCACCGGCTTCACTTCCGACGGACTCCCCACCTCCCACTCCTCGCCTCGGCAACTGCACTACTTCCAGACTACCAGTGTCGGCGATGTTGGGAGGGAAAATGGTGTGGTTGACCAGCATGCTCGCATGGATCTCGTTGTACAGCACCCTCTCCATCCTGAACTTGAAATTGTCCTCCTCCCGCTCTTTGTTCGCCAACCTGAAGAAATCCGCCTCACCGCTCTTCCCCTGAAATCTCTGTATTTTCTTGTAGTTCTGAAATAGATTGTCCCACTTCCTGGAACAGTCATCGACTTCTTTCGACGTCCCCATGTTGGCCATCCGTTTCGCAATGTCGTCCCACTTCCACTCCTCCGTTCGCATCCAACCGTAATAGTGACCCAACCCTGCCAGGTGCATGTCTTGCTCCCGCTTACATCTGACAAGCCGCAATTGGTCGTCTGTCGACCAATATGTCACCGACTTCCCACCATCATCGGATGCGCCTCCTCTGCCGCCCCGCCCACCGGATCGACCACAACCACCGCCTCTGAGGCGTCCTTTCCCCCTCCCTGTCGTTTTCCCCAACGGCCGAATTTCGACGTCATCGTCGTCGTCCACTGGCTCCATGTCCTAAGTGTCTCCATCGTCAGCGTCATCATGGAATGCCGCATCTTGAACGCCGCCATCGCAGTGTGCCCGCATGTTGGACACTCCTCGAATGATGTTGTCCACGGTAGGTCGTGGACACGCCGGTGGTCTGCAAGTGGCATCGTCTCCCAAGTACGCCTGCGTAGTTCTGCTCAGGTTCGACATGTCCAAACGACCACCGCCGATGCGCACGTGGCCCGCTGCCAATCCGGCAGAGGCGGGGCAACCGTCTCTACTCCGTTCGCAGGACCACACACTCTTGCCATGCTGCTGGTTAGAAGGTGAAGGTCGAACACCGGCATTAACGGACACACCGGCTTCAAGTATGCGCTGCTGAGTGTGCGCACTTCCTGCACGTTGAAGGGAATGTGGCGAAGGCTCGGGGTTGATGATGAACATACGGGTCGCTGTCGTCGCACCGCCGGATGACAAGCCGAACCTCAGATCAACCTGCCCGTCGTCGTCGTCTTCCAAGCCTTCCTGCAGGAGGGACGTGAACTCGCCACCCGCGTTGCGCCAGCACCTGCCAGCTGCCACCATTTGCAACCACATCTGCGTCGACCCACTGCCCAAAGGTAACGTCGTGAGTCCATCCGTCTCCGGTTCCTTGTTCGATGGGGGCAGCAGCTGCTCGTGTGGTGGTAGAAGGCTGTACAACGATGGGTCGTACCGTCGTCGACGCACCTCCGCCCAAGATCCTACTCCGCCCTGACCTGCCGCCGGTTCTCTGCCTGCGTCGAAGTTCACCATTCGTCGTCATATTGTGGACGCCCGTCGTTTGCGAGGTTGCTTCCACGGGCGGAACGCGAAACACACGTGAAGGAAGATGACAAATAAGAAGATGACGACGGCGAGGAGCAGCAGAGGCAACCTCCTATACACATCTGCCATGAATGTCGCCTTCGGATGCAGCGTTACGGACAAGCACTACAGAAGACGTCGTCCGGCATGCCGACAGATCGGACCGTAGTACCTTCATATGTCGTTGTACGCACAAGACGACACAAGCGGACGCCTGCAATTCAAATTTCGACTGTTGGGGCCCATTCACTGCCCATCCGTCATCGGTATGTCGTACTGTGCCAGTCGGCGTCCTCCTCCTCGTTTCGCATCGAAGCCAACGGTCGACTACGGACGACAGGGCACCCCCGCTCACCCTCCACGCTCCACCCCGCCCGCCAACGGCTACCGCTGGTGGCAGTTGCCCCCCTCAGCCCGCCGAATGCCTCCGATGTCCGACCCCGTAGCCCGACGGACAACTTCTGCACCACGGAGTCCAAGACGGCGGTGCCATGCACGCGACGCCACGACTCCGCCAAACGCGGTTTCCTAAATTTTTCAGTAGGTCGGGGGCTACTAAAAAATTTAGGATATTTGCCTTGGGAATCCTAAATTCTTTAGGACGAGTCCTAAGGCCGTTTTCACATTTTCGATCTCAAAATCGGATTTAGGAATGCGTGCAACCACGAAGCAATCCTAAAAACTGGCACTTTTAGGAGTGTCTAACGAGACCCTTATCCTGGCAGCATCAGCCAGTTTAGCTTACAGTCCCAGCCAAACTGAGGACCCATATTCCAATCAATCACATTACCCTTCGCGGTATCCTTTATATCTCTTCCTCTTCTAAATCTCTCAGACTTCTTTCAGCAGTATTTCTCCATCACTCCCTCCCTCTCTCTCGAAGCATCCGAACCTTCTCAACCAGAATCCGTCTACCGCGACGACCTGGCTTACTTCGGCCCAGGTGGAACCAAGGTTCCTTATTATCTATCACTCTCCTACCTGGTCCACTGCGACCCTACCAACCGAGTGATCTGGTTGAGTCTCTGGCACTCTCTAGCCTCCTCCCTACTGACCGAGATACACTGGTGTCTTATCCTAATTCTCCTCTACCCTCCCATTGCCTACCCTCTCCTAATACTAACTAGTTAGAGTTCAACCACTTGGAGATCACTTCCTTATTCCCCCAAATACAACGTACGGTTATTATAGTTGTATTTGAGGCATCTTTCAGTCCAGATACAACTATAATGACCGTACGTTGTATTCGGGGGAAGTATGGACTCCCGCCAACTGGTTGCCCTTCGCCCATGATCTCAGAAACATCCAAAGTTTCGCCCTTGGGCCCTTCCCGCATTTTGCCTTCCTGCGCCAGTCTGCCTTCCCCCACTTCATAAGACCTTTGCCAAGCTTACTGTTTAAAACATAAAGCTTGCTACCCGAATGGCTGCGTCCCCGCGTTTGACGCAGTATAACAGTATGCATATTGTTGAAAAAAAAAAAAAAAAAAACTGGAACCATGCATACTGTTATACCGCGTCAAACGCGGGGACGCAGCCATTCGGGTAGCAAGCTTTATGTTTTAAACAGTAAGCTTGGCAAAGGTCATATGAAGTGGGGGATGGGCAGCCTTCTGGATGGTAGTGTCCAAAGCCAACACTCTCCCACACACCACACACAACCCACTGACACGCGCACTCAACCCGTGTTGGCTGAAGACCTTACTGTTACCGACTGGGAGGATCCAGCTCACTATCGCAGTTGGATGGCACCAAGAGTGCCACAGGCGGCCGTGGGGATTGAACCCACAACCTCCTGAATACCACTTGCGTGCCTAACCAATTGAGCTAGCTGGATGGAGCCCAGATTCTTCTATCGCAGGAGGGAAAAAAAAAAAAAAAAGTGAAAAATGAATAGCAAGCTACTGAGGGCTATACCACCCCACACCCGGGGCATGGTCCCACTAGCAAAGAGGATCGGATCGAGTGCCTGAATCTGGATGTGTTTGTAGAGAGGTGCAGGAAATCGAGATTGAACTGCTTTACTGCATCTCTGCATAAAACACATCCAGATTCAGGCATTGGATCCGATCCTCGTTGCTAGTGGGACCTCAGCCCCGGCCAGGAAAAAGGGCATTTCAAGCTCTAAACTACTAGCAGTGTATCTACTCATGTTCTACCGGATGATTCATTCTCGTTTTGCACATTTGGTCAGCAGTGGAGCAAGGCCCTCCATCTCCACAGCTCTCGAGGCAAAGGTAAGTACGCTTTTTCTTCTTTTTTTTCTTTCGGAAAGTCAATACGTAGGTTTTTTTTTTCTTTTCCTTTCTTTGGTAAGCCCTGCCAAAGAGGCAGGGCAGTCCCTTCTAGAATTGGTTACTTGGGCGTAGTAAACATCAGAATGCTTTGATGCTGTATTTCTGGAAAGATGAAGTAGAAGAGAAAAAAAACAAAAGAGGAAAAGACCCAGACCCAAATCACCCGCCCAGACCCATATCGCCCGGCCCCAGTTTGCAACGGGAAAAAACTCTATCCCTCAAAAGGGAAACAATGGACGGCGCCCTATACTAAATTGCAACGACCTTGACAAGCGAACCTGCCCTACGACCGGTCTTAGGGACGACTGCGACCGGATCCTATTTTCTGTTGTCGGAGACCCCACAAGAACCCGTCCTAGCGAAGTTGTACTGCACGATCTTACAGAAAATAGAAAGAAAGAAATGAAACGACGAAAATAAAACCCACACAAGCTCAGCCTTCTGGCTGCGAACTTTTTTTTTTTTTTTTTTTTTTTTTTTTTCAAACTTCACATTTCAAACTTCACATTCAAGGAATCCTGCTTAAACCACCAGTACTTGGCCCAGCTATCAGCCGCGGGCTTGCCCATTAAACCACCAGTACCTCGCTCAGCTATCGGCCTCAGGCCTTCCCGTATACGCGCCGCAGCCTTAGGGGGGTCGGCCAAGGGAAGGCCTGGCCGTAGCGCGAAGGTCGGGGCCCGATTTTGTAGGAACGACACTACTACAGATAAACAAAAAAAGAAAGAAGGGAAAAGCAATGAAATACACAAACGAAAAATAAATGAAATACATAGAAGGAAAGTCGAGCGGGAGGGAGAGAGGGAGAGAGGGAGGGAGAGAGGGAGGGAGGGAGAGAGAGAGAGAGAGAGAGAGAGAGAGAGAGAGAGAGAGAGAGAGAGAGAGAGAGAGAGAGAGAGAGTCAAGTTTCGCAAAACGAAACGGGGATGCGGGAAGATGCATTCCCATTTCTTTTCTCGAAACGAGAGAGAGAGAGGGGGAGAGAGAGAGAGAGAGAGAGAGAGAGAGAGAGAGAGAGAGAGAGAGAGAGAG